CTTCTGTCACTTGACCCAAATGACAAATATGCAGTGAGACCAAATGCCAAATCTTACATCCCACTCAGCTTGTTTTTGTTTTCTTTTTAAAGTTATTTATTTATTTTTGAAAGGAGAGACAGAGAGAGGGAGGGAGAGAGAGAATCCCAAGCTGACTGCGCATAGCCTGATGGGGGGCTCGAACTCACAAACTGCGAGATCATGACTTGAGCCAAAATCAAGAGTCGGGTGCTTAACCGACTGGGCCGCTCAGGGGCCCCTCAACTTGTTTTGATGCCTGCATTCAGACTCCACTGCTCTCCACAATTTATTAGTGGTTACAGAAGGAAAATTCTGCACTCCACGGTTTCCAAGACTGAATTTAAGATACTCTCCTGAGGCCACACTTGGAGTGATTTTTTTGTACAAACTTTTACATAGACCAGCCCTTCATGTTAGCATTTCTCTACAGAAGACCTCACTGTCATCTCCTGACCTCAGAGTCCTTACTTCCTGGTTGACTTAAAGGTTCACATTTTTCTCCATTGCTTGACTTCTAAACTTGAGCATTCCACAGTGTGCGCTGGCAAGCTAATCTTCAACGTTGCTGGTGATCTACCCTCCAAAATTACAGAAAGAAAGGGAGAAGGCCTCTAACACAGGACATTCTGTTTATTCTGATGTGCTATGAACCCGGAATATGAAAGTTTTCCATGACGCATAGTTTAAGTGCTTTCATCGGGCAGTGCCACTAGCCTGTCCTGATCGTTTGCACAGAAAAGACATCAGCATCAGACCTGAAGAACAAGAGAAGATCCGTCTTAAGGTAAAACAAAGATACTGCCTATGTGGAAAAGACCGTGCCTGCACTTAGACAACTAATCATATACCATGGGTGCTGTTAGACTTTACGCTCTGGGAGGTGGGGGGAGGGACCATGTGTGTCTTTGGGCCATTATGCGCTGCATAATGCACCTGTAAGTGGTCAGCCACTTCCCTTCTGGACATTTCCATGGCAGCATTTATTATTATTATTATTATTATTGTTATTTCTAATTTTCCCAACTTCAATATAAGAACAATCATGACTGTCTCTTAATATCAATTGAATAAACGAGGTGTGATGGAAAGTTTACTTGAAACAACACGCAATCACGTGACACAATGTAGGCCCTCACATGGTTAGTTTCTTTAGTGAGAGTGGCTAGGCTGTTGCCATATATATTTTAAAGGGACTCGTTTCAGGGATGACAAAAGCAATTTTGGCACAGGAATCTGGAAAATTTGGTTACGCTGTGCAAAGTGCAGCTGTGTCTCCCTCTCAGCCTGCTGATTACAGCAAGCCCATAAACTTCAGAACGAGGTTTTCTGAACACACCAGGGAGTGGAGGTTACAAAAGCACCTAAGGAGACTGAACTCCAGAAAGACCTCTCATTGCCCTTATCCCTGGCAGACGGGCCGAGGAGCGAAGGAAGCGAAAACTGTGAAGACCCCACTGGGGAGAGACTGAAGAAACTCTAAGAGAGTTTTAAAGTCTGCTGGCGAGCCTGCCTGACCGAAGCAGAGAATCCCACGTAGCCAAAACCACAGCCACCGTCTCTGCTGTGGGAGAGCAAGCCAGAAAGGGGGCGAGGGAAAAGGCTAGAAAGTGGAGAGAAATACCCACTGAGGCGCCCCCCACCCCTCTCCCCCGGGGAAAGCCTCTAAAGCCAGCGAGCAGGGCAGGAAGCTAAGGGGACCGAGCCAAGGCACTTTGTTTTAAACTGCCAAGAGCCAGGGTGAGAGCCGAGAGAAAGCTCTCCAAGGCTCTCTGGAAGGAGAGAGGCCTCCCAGCCAAAAAAACAGCCTAGGGGAGGCTGGAGAGCAAAGACATGCCAGCAATCCAAACAGCTGACACCCTGGCCATTAGGGAGAGAGAGACAGAGACAGAGACAGAGAGAGACAGAGACAGAGAGAGAGAGCGAGATCTCAGGGTTTGGAAAGCCAGTGGTGCGGTACTAAAGCACGAAGAGAAGAGAAGGGACCACGAAGAGCAAAAACTCCTGGTTTTTCAGTTCAACGTCCACTGAATTTTTACAACAGGACAAAGCAAATGAAGACAACTTACCAGTCGGTGTGGAGGACGCGGACTCAAAGTTAAAGGAATGTGCTAAAGATAAGGAGCATGGCCTTACAGCTTTTATTTTTAAATTAAAAACGAAATTTATAAATTGCATGATGGAAGGTAAGTAAATAGTTGATCCGCCTTGTTGAAAGATTACAGCTCTCCTTTCTCAAATAGAAAAAAAGAAACCGTGCCTTTCGAGGACTCAGATACCTGTGTGCATAAAGTGGGTCAATGAACTTGAGAAGCAACAAAGTGAGAAGAGAGACGGGAGGGCGTAGGGGCCGACCGAGAAAGGACGCGCAGAGGGTGGGTCTGCGGCTGCGCGGCCCCTGACACCTGCCGGCAGGTGGGTCGCGACGCGCTGGGAGGCGCGGCTTCGCGGCACAGAGGGTTCCCGCCTCCCTTCTCGTCGTCGACCCGCCCGGGCCGAGCGCCCCCGCTCTCTCAGGCCCAGACAGCAGCCCAGGCTGCGAACGCGCCCTGGTCTCGACCTCTTTTGCCACGGATCGGGGGTGTCTGAGTTCCCTGGGGATGGAGAGGGGCCCGGGGCTCCGGCGAGGGGCGGTGCCCACAGGCCTCCCCGCCGACGCCAGCCCGGCCTCGGGCGCCACCACGCGGCCCGGGAGCCGCACTGCACTCCAGACTCGCGGCCGCGCGGCCCCGGGTGCGGGGTCCCGGGCCCCCGGCGTCCGGGCGGAGCCGCCCCGCCCCAGCGGCCCCCGGGAGCCGGGAGCGTGCGCTGCGCGGCGGCGGCCCCGCGGTCGGCCCCGCCCGGGCTGGGTAGGAGAGAGGGAGCCCCGTGCGGCGCGGTCTGGGGAGGACTGAGTTTCCCCGGGAAGAAGCCCGGCTCCGCCGTGTCGGCCCTGGGACGTCTCTTCTGTTTCCTTAGAGAAGAAACAAACCTTCTGCAGGAAAAGGTGCGCGTCGCCTCTGTTTCGTGTTGACTTTAAAGAGCGTAAGTAAAGCGGCCGGGCCAGCGCGGGCCGGTTAGCTCAGTTGGTTAGAGCGTGGTGCTAATAACGCCAAGGTCGCGGGTTCGATCCCCGTACGGGCCACAGAGTGCGCTGCTTTTCCTTTTGCAGCCAACCCGTCACGTGGACTCTGCAGCCTTACACCCGGTTACAGAGCCCTACGTCACCACTGCCGGGCGGGGCTTCGGGAAGCCTTGCTTTTGTGAAAGAAGCAATGGCGTCCGAGAGTCCGGGCGGAAGGCTTGTAAAGGAAACGGGGGGAGGGGACGGTCAGAGCGCCTGAGCCCCGCGGGAGACCCTGCGCTGCGGCAGCCGGGCTCCCGGGGGCGCTCGCCGCCGCGCGCGCTCCCTCCGCCCGGCAGGTGAGGGGGGGGGCGCCCGAGTTCCCGGAAGAGCCGGGACCCGGTCCTGGCCGCGCATGCTCAGCGGGCGCGCGGGAAGCCTCGGGCCGCCCCGGGTCCTAACGCCAGCCCCGTCCTCTTCCGGAGGTCTTGCCCCGGGTCCTAGCGCCCGCCATTTCCTTCCCTGGAGTTCTTCCACCTGCTGCCCCTCGCCGCTCGCTCTGCTCGGCCAGCTGCCCCCGTGCTCCGCGCTTCCCCGCTGCTGAGTACGGGGCAGCCACGAAAGTGACATTAGCCCTACTGATTGCACAGTAACGTAAGCAGGGCCTCGAGCGTGGGGCAGGGGACGTAGGAGATGCTCAATGAATCCCAGAAAGCAGGAATCTTCTGTGTGGTCCGTGCTGCGTCCTCTAGGTCAACAACAGTTAAAGGCTGAAAAACCTGTTTTAAAAGGCCAATAAAGAATATTCAGTGTTCATTGTCTATTAAACACTGCACCCACAGATCTGAAGTACCAGGACTCACAGGTCGATGCTGACCTCGGGGAGGAAGGGGCCACCCGCCCGCAGCCTGCCTGCAGACGGAGGTCTGAGCCCGGCCCTTCTACACCTGCTGCGAGCCTGGGGCGCCGCCTGCTTCTGCCTCGCTCCGGTAAGGTAGTACCTGCACGTGGTCGGTAGCTACAGGGCCCCTCCTCCGGCGCTGCCCCCCCCTCTGCCGCCTGCACCGCTGTCCCCTGTGGAGGTGCGATCTCCTCGCTTCCTCGTGCATTCTCCCCGCAGCTGTAAATCCCAGTGTGCGTTTTCCTTCAAGGTGACATGAAGGGTCGCACTGTGCACACTGCCTTGCACCCTGCTGGGTCCTGGAGCAGCCCCTCGCAGCGCGTCCCAGCGGCCCAGGGCTGGCGCTGCTCCGGAGGATGCGGACGCGGAGCCTGCTTCGGTGCGCCAGGTCCAGCCGCAGGCGGGTGGCGGATTGTGCCCTGACGCCGGAGGTGCGCGGGCAGGGCTGGAGAGGAGGGCAGCCGCCGTGTTCCGTGACGCCGTGAGCAAACACCCTCTCTGTGGGGCCGTAGGGCGTTTCGAATGGTGGCGACGCGGGGGCGCCAGAGCACACCGTTGATCAAAGGACATCATGGATAGGTTTGTTCAAAGGTGATTTCAGAAAAAGGTAAAACGATGAGTCCGATATGAAAATGAGCATGTTGTTAGACAATAGGGTGTTTTCAACGGTTTCAGTTCACAAAAGTGAAGTCTACTTAAATTGTTACAACTCACAGCGTGGATCCTTAAGAGGGAAGAGAAAGGGCTTCTTTGTGGATCTAGAAGGCGGACCCTGTAGCAGCTTCCTGTTCCAGACAAAATTAGCAGTTAGCCCTCAGTCAGTCCCATGTAGTTCTTATTCTACTACATCGTTGTTTTTTTTTTCCCTTCTAATTTACTTATCTTGAGAAAGTGTACAAGCAGGGGAAGGGCAGAGAGAATTCCAAGCAGGCTCTGTGCTGTCAGCATGGAGCCCGGTGCAGGGCTTGAACTCACAAACTGGGAGATCATGACCTGAGCAGAAGTCAGCCGCTTAACTGACTGAGCCACCCAGGTGCCCCATCACTAGATCTTGAGTTAACAGGTGTCAGGGTCAAAGAAAATGGTTTTCTCTGTTTCTATAGGAAACGTGCCCTTCTCTGCCCCCCAGCCCCGCCCCAGGCCGAGCAGTGTGTTCTTGGACACCTAGTGAATCTGATTCTCACTGGAATCTTCAGAGGAGAGACAAGTATGTCTGTGGACTAAGTCCAGTCTTCAGTGTTTACAGTGTAGAGCGTTCCTAAGGTTGTGGGCCAGACAGCCTCTCGATAGGCAGCAGTGCACCCCCAGGAGTAGCTCAGGGGTCTCTCCTGACGTTTCCAGGAGACTCTCCTCAGCTGCAGCCGCTTGCTTCTCAAGGAAGTACACAGAAGTTACTATTCTTTCTTCAGCTTTGCTGTAAACAATGAGTGAGATTTTGTCATATTTTGTCGTCACTTTTGTGCTGCCGTCTCTGCACATAAACATGTTAACGCTTAGTAAAGTGTGTTCTCTCTCTTCTGTTGAAAAGGAAGCATCTTTCTGCTGGCAGAGTCATTTCATCGCCCCGACACAGTTTCAGGAACCCGTGTGCTTCTGGGGCAGAGTTCTGGAAACCAAGGCTCAGTAGGACCGTTGTGGTGTTAACGTTGAAGCCAGGCATCGGGAGTCTGTAAGCAGGTGCATCTGGCGGCAGAGTCTCCTGCGGGGCTGAAACGCCCGTGCTTTGTTGAAGGTAAAGCGCACTCTGGCCTGCAGCTGATGGCGAGTGCTTTCAGGGATGTGACATAAAACAAGGTAACTGTATGTGGATGTCAGAAGATTTGAGGGGGTCGTAATTAATTTATTATGATTTTCAAAAGCGAAAGAATCCATAACAAGGATAATGCCACTAAGAAGGAGTTTTGGTTGTTTCTATGATACAAAAAACAAGATGACAAAGACAATCCAAAATATGTTTTAGACACGATAGCTGCCAACATAATGACTTACCATAATGAAAACACTGCATCTGGTTTGTAGAAGTGGATGAACACAATCTCCACAGAGAAAAAGTCTTGAAACAGACGTATAATAATCCTGAGGCATAATATGCCAGGAATACACAAATCACATGGTAAGAATGTATCAACAATATGAAACAGAGTTGTGGGAAGTCTGAAGTAAGTTCTACATGTTTCTATATAATAAGACTCCATAGGTAAGTGATGTAAACCCCATTGGAAATTCAGAAGCCCACAAGATGCTAGATTCAAATTAAAGCAGTAAAGTTGCCACCAAGTTAACATTTACAAAACTAGCTCAAGTTCTGCCTGGTTACACCCTCCTCCGCTGTCTGGTAGCGGGCAGAACAGCACCAGCGCCTGCTGTGTCGGTCGGAACATGTCATGGACAGTAAGAGCGTTGCTAAGTCTCCAGGAATTTCCCGCTTGGTGTACACTTTCTGAAATATTTATGGTAACATTTCACCCATGCAGATCTGACTTACGGAAGACCAAGCCTCTCTCCTCCTGACCTTCGCCGTCTTCCTCCTCCCGGCCCCCCCCCCCCCCGCCCCCGACGGTCAGCTCTTGCTGTGCATTTCCTCAATAATAGCATCACACAGCCCTGCTTCTCCTCAACTTCTCTTTTTGCAAAGGGGGAAAGAGCAAACCGTTAGGATTTTCCAGGCACCTTCTGGGAAGTCTCAACAACAGGTGTAGGTGGAAATGGTGTTTTGAAACTTTCGTTGACATTTAGGATTTAAATTAGGGAAGGTAAAAATTAAAAGGTATCAAGACATTTGAACACTTAGGAGAGGAATCAGATCCTGATTGCTGTAGAAAATAACATGGCTCGTGGTTTCAAAGTTACAATAAAACATCCAAAACTAAGCACAGAAGGTAACATGACCATAAAGGACTTCAGCTCATTCCTGTGTAAGAAACGTTTGTTTTCTTCAGTAAAGACGACACAGTTGGCATAAACTATCAAAGATTATTCTGCTAAAAACACAATATTTGCTATCGGAGAAGATTACACAGGGGAAACCAGAAAGAACCTGGTCGTATGATGGGCGAAGGCAACAAGCAGTAAACCGAAGAAACAAGCATATCAAAGTGAAGCAGACTTTCCCAGATTTTAATACATTTCATGGCTTTTCAAACTCAGGTATTATACGTGAAGATAAATAAAATTAATTTTCGAATTTTGCCCTTCATGATGCTCTTCCATATCCTGGGACAGTTCGACACTGTGCTGGCCTCAGAAGTCTGCGAGGTGAGAACTGATCTCACAGTATTTAGCTGAGATGTTACCAACATGGATTGCATTCGCTTGCGTAGTCTCCAAGTGCGGCAGTAGCTAAGATGTTTAAAACTGCGCGTCGGAAGTGTTGGTAATGGAACAGCACTCTAAGTTTGGATTTTTTTTTTTAAATGTTTTTTATTTATTTTAGGAGAGAGAGAGAGAGAGAGAGAGAGACAGCGTGAGCAGGGGAGGGTCAGAGAGAGAGGGAGTCACAGACTGAAACAGGCTCCAGGCTCTGAGCTGGCAGTCAGCACAGAGCCCGACGCGGGGCTCGAACCCACGAACCGCGAGATCCTGGCCCAAGCGAAAGTCGGACGCTTAACCGACTAAGCCACCCAGGCGCCCCTAAGTTTGGATTTTAGATACTTAAACCTTCAAGACATCATTTATCCAATTGTTCACAATGTTTTCTAACCGCATCTTTCCAGCGTAAGGGGCCCTTGGGATCCTGGCTTGTGACCTCACTCGCAGGGGAACCGTCTGGAACACTGAAGAATGAGACGAGGAGCAGGATGCTCTAGCGATGGAATCCTCATGGTGAGAAATGCTCTGTCCGCTCCCGAGTGTGAACCAACATCATTAAAGGCCGTATCTCAGGATTTGATTCACAAATCTATTTAAAAACCAAGGCCGCTGCTTGTAAACCAGTCAGATACTCTTATTTTGAAGTGTTTTTCCTTTTGTTTGAGGCCTTTTTATTTGTTTATTTTGATGTGTCTGTTCTGCTTTCTTGGATTTGTTCTAATCGTTATCTTTCTAAGAAGGTTTCCTGTCAGTCTTCGAAGGAAAAAAATCTTCGCTGAATCCGTTATCTTGCGAAGCTTGAAATGTTGGCACCATTTCTGTGTCATTTTCTGTCATTGTTCCTGACTTCCTTCTTCCTTCTTCCCTAAATGTGGCAAAAGAGAGAGGGGGGAGGATTCCATTTCATTTTTTTTTAAATTTTTATGTTTTATTTATTTCTGAGAGAGAGAGAGAGACAGCATGAACAGGGGAGGGTCAGAGAGAGAGGGAGGCACAGAATCCAAAACAGGCTCCAGGCTCTGAGCCGTCAGCACAGAGCCCGACGCAGGGCTCAAACCCATGAACCGTGAGATCATGACCTGAGCCGAAGTTGGACACTCAACTGACTGAGCCACCCAGGAGCCCCAAGGATTCCATTTCCTTGTCCGTCAGCCAGGCTGCAAGGCCTGAAACCTGCAGTGAGTGTGGAGAGCGTCCCGTGGGCAGAGTTTGGCCCTTGGTTTGTGAGTTTTACTTCCTATTTCGCACAAGGATTGTCCGGGCCACTTCCTGACAGGTACCCGGTGGCACATCTGTTCCTCCCTGAGGTTCTGGAAGGGAACGGGCAGGAATCGCACTGGAATGTGTGATGTACACATTCCCAAGGTGTTTTTCAGCCTTCACTCGATTAGGTTCCAAGCAGAGAATCCTGCAGAATTAAAGGTGCTGGAGGCTTGGGACGGAGGCGGGGAAGAGACTTCCCCCCTGCCTTTCTGAGGTCTTCGCTGAGACCCCTGTAATGAGCAAGAGAGAAAAGCCGACCGAAGTTTGTGAACACGTCTGCCTCCGGCGTAGGCAGGGGGCACCCAGGGAAAATGAGTACCTGTCGCGGTGGCTTAGAAGTCCAGCTTATACAGTGTCTCCAACAAAGGACAGCAGATTTGTGGCGAAATCATGGAACAAAGGAATGCGTGTCAGGCCAAGGGCAGAGCGGCAGGCCAGTCAGTAAAGGTCGTTACTGCATTTCTAGGCTGTGGGGTCTCAGGTTGTCTGGGGGTGAACCTCTGTCTTTCTCGGCAGAGGGGAGAAGGGACCTCTCGGTAAACTTCTGTCCTAATTCTCTCTTGCTTTCAGCTCACAGTAATCCTTGTGCCCACGTAGCATATTGGGGGGGGGGCCTAACCCGCCACCTCGATCGTCTTTTTTGTCCACATTCTTTTGGAAGTTGGGAGAGGGGAACTGCTAGGAATAAAAGAAAGATGGACTGAGGGTTGCTGCGGGTGTGAACCGGCTTTCGGGCACTGTGCTGGGCCTCTTGCGTTAGGTGAAGACCCAGTGACTCCTGGGGAGCCCCACTCAGAACCTTCGAGATCTCTTTACCTACAGTGGAAAAGCCCAGTGCTAGGCCGGGGCTCCACAGGCTCCGGAAGGCGCCGGTCTGTCTGTGGTGCCTTCCCTCACTGAGTGAGCCCCAGTCTCCCCGCCCCGAGGGCTCGTCTGATGCACAAAAGTGGCAGCTCCTGGGCCCGGGCAAAACCACGGTGGCCAGAGTGGAAGTCTGACTCAAGCCAGACGCCGCGGCTTATTCTCTGCCTGACAGGGGACAACCACACTCCCTCAGTTAGCCGACGACGTCCCAGGTTCCGAGATCCAGGACTGAACCTCCAGGTCACAGCGTGAGTCGTGGCTTCCGTCTCTACTGCAGGGCCCCGTCCCTTTCTATCAGCTACAGACATCTTCCTCATTTTCCCTTCATCCCAGTCCCTCATAATGGGATGCACTTACCTGGGAAGAGACTCTCCTCGCCTGGAGTAACAATTCAGTGCAGGCTTTACCTGCTGCACAAATTCCCGAATGCATCTCCCACATATTCAGGGGCAACTTACAGAACTGAAAATAGAAAACTAAACAAAGAAGGCCCCGCTGGGATTCGAACCCAGGATCTCCTGTTTACTAGACAGGCGCTTTGACCAGCTAAGCCACAGAGCCCCTTTTTGAGTTTATGTTCAGTTATATCATATTTATACCATTTTCTGTGAATTGTAGCAACTTGTCAGAAATTTACTTGATTGTGTGACAAAGAGAAGATATCTGTGTTTCTGAGCTTGTACTTAAACAGAAGCTTCAACGTTTGAAGAAAATGCATTCTTTAATTCAAGGAAGGTTTAAAAAATTTCAAATAAAAAAAAAAAGGGTTAAAGTCCTATTTTGTGGTGACTATCGCCATCTAGAGGTCATGTTTGTTATTGCAACACATTTTAGTTTTGTTTCTCCTTGAACTCGTTTGTCCGCAATGTGGAGTCACTAACCAGTCAGGTACTTTTCTAGGCATTGGAGATAGAACAGTGAACAAAAAATAGACAAAACTTTCTTTTCTTACAGAATTTGTATCCTGGATGGAGGTAAAGAAAGCAAGTTCAAACAATGTGCCCTCCCCCCGCCCAAGCCAGGCGCTGTCTGGCCCTCTGTTTCAAAGCGAGTCTGGACCCCAACACACTTGTTGCTCTGTGTGGAGTCCTGCAGGAAGAAACTTTATTCTGACGCAGTCTCGTTTCATTCATTGATTGACCCGCTGGGTTAAAACTGACTTGATCTTTGTCTTTGTCAAGAGGGAAAAACTGAGGGGGGATACAGAGAAGGAGAAAATCGGGGTACACCCCATGGGGTGCTGTGGGATCTGGGCTTGGCATGGGGCAGGGGATCTTAGAGTCACATGACCTGTCCCCTACAAGTTCTGCGCCAGGTGGGGGAAAGCAGACGGGGGCTGTGGCTCCCGTGGCCGGAATATTCGCAGCTTAGCATGGAGAGCAGATGGGAGCGTCACCCTGAGTTTAGGTACCTGCTTCGTGCATTCTGGGTGATGAGGGCACATGCGTCGCTGGCAGCCACAAAGGGCAAGCCTGCAGGGGTGAGAAGTCACTTCGGAGATTTCCTAGGGACAGACGGGTCTCTGTGCCCCAGCTTTCCTCTGGACACCGCCCCCTGCTCCCCGGCTCTTCCCAGCCAGTCTGGCCTGTACCTACCCCGTTCCGCCATTTCTTGTGACACGTGGAGATCATGCTTTCCCTGTGTCCCCAGCGCTGCATCATTCCTCTCCTTATATGAGCTCATTGGTCTGTGGTGCAGCGTTTTGGTGTGTCGCTTTTGCAAAGCTGACATTTTGTGCACATATATTATGCATTTACATAAGTGGTGTGTTATCTATATTGATGCCTTTTAAAAGAATTATGAGTTTGTAAGCCAATTTGACAACAAATTATATTAAAACCCATTATGACTTTAAGGTCCATCAGAGGTGTCCTGTGCACACCGAAGTCATTGCTTCCAATTCTGTATAAATTCCCACGGTGGGTGTCCCCCCCGTTTCCTCTCTGCCGTCCCCGTGCTGGACTCACTTCGGCTGCCTCCACTGCCCCCCACACCCTCCCGCCATTCCGGATAACGCCACCTTTCACCCACCCCCTTGACGTATTTCACTGGGATGTGCGTGCAGGGGCGCTATGGTAAGTGCTCCCCGCGTCGGCTCCGGTGCCCACTCCGCCGCCCGGCCCTTTCCCTGGTCTCTGCGCTCAGCACGACCCCCTTTCTGCTTGTCATCTAGTGTGTGCAGAGCGATGGGTCTCATCGTTGTTTCTTCCAAATTTGCCGCTATGTCTTCTAAAGATTTGGAGCATTTGTTCATCTGTTTGTTGGCCATTGGCATTGACCCTTCTCATCGGCCTATGTTCTCACCGAGGCTGATGTTTCTTTCATGTTACGTGCAGGCTGTGTTGCGTCTTGTGGCGATTAGGCTGCTGTGAGTTCGGGATCTTGCAGTATCATCTACCGTGATGTTACCTGCTGACCTGTTGATGGAGGAACCTGATGGCAGATCCTTGGTTTCGTTAAGGCTTTATCTTTCCCCCGCCCCACGGTGTGCACTTTTGAGGTTATGCTTAAAGGGCCTTTCTCTGTTACTAAGTTAAAAACTGTTCTTCTCTCTAAGAAACAAAAAATGTGTAGATGTTCTTTTTCACATTTGAGACATCGATCCATCTAGTTTTCTAGATAAGTGTATTGGTTTTTTATATGACAATCTGTTGGCATTGTGTCTTCCAGTTATAGAGTTTTGGTTTGGTAAGGGTGTCCAAGATGTGCACTGCTCATTTAGCATCCTACGTTTCCTTTATCTTAGCCGCTTCACGTTTTTATGTAATTATGTATTTAATAAAATATATAATTATATATAATGAAATTATGTTTTTCCTGTTAGAACATATGTCTGCAAACTTGGGGAGATGTTAGTTAACCAGATGTTAGTTATGTCTCTAACATCTGGTACAAGTCATAGCATGGAAAGAATGTATTTTATTTTGTTTTTATTATTTTTTTAAGTTTATTTGTTTTGAGAGAGAGAGAGAAAGAGAGAGAGAGAGAATCCTAAGCAGCGTCTGTGCTGTTAGCACAGAGCCTGACGCACGGCTTGATCCCACAAATAGGAGATCGTGGACCTGAGCCAAAATCAAGAGTGAGGCGCTTAACTGACTGGGCCACCCAGGCGTCCCTGTAAAGAATATCTTTTAATAAATCACTTGTTTGAATTATATTTTATGAATTTCCCATCAGATAACCTTGCAAAGATTTGCTTTTTGTTTATATTCTTGTAAGCATGTGCCTGTGTTTCGTGGCCTCTGAGGTCAGTCGCAGGCTCCCTGAAGTGTACGCAAGTATTTTGGGTCTTGTAAGAAAAGGGGAGGAAGATGCAACCCCACGATGCTGTGACGGACTAGCGGGTGAGGTTCTGGACGTAAAGCGTGTGCGGGTCCAGCCCTTGCTTGTGGCTCGTAACCTTGTCTTCTAATCGGTGCTTTTCAGTAGGAACTGGAAACCCTTACTGGTTCCAGAAAACCTATGAGTGTCTCATTGTGTTCTCAGGCTATTGGATTATTTTTCTGTGTCCTATGAGCCTGCACCTGACGACAGGAGCTGGGGGCAGACGTCCTGCCAGGCAGTGGGTGACGGGGCACAGCGGGGTCTTTGCGTCACTGTCCTAGCCCACCATGCATTCGGCATAAGCGTCCCAAGTCCTCAGTGTCCCAAGCCCATCAGTGTCAAGGTCTACTGTCATTTGATTCTAAGCAGAAATGAAAACAGAAGACCTCGGGCAGCACAAGGGAACACCCAGGATTACATTTCCCACA